CCTACTACTTAAATGTATGAACTGACTAGCATCTTACTAAGGTGTTTGAATCTCTCAGGATGTGCTTCTAGGTGTATTTTATTTCCTAGATAATACACTAGACATGTCTAATTTAATTATTCTAACACTAAGGTAGTTGTAACAATTTTGAAATAAACTTATTAAAGTCAGATATTTTATTCCATTTAATGTAGCTTTGAATATAATTTAAGTTAGGCATAGGGTTTTCTGAGAGACTTTTGCTGGCTAATGCTATCTATGTATTAGAGATTTCTCTGTGAAAATGTTTTCAGATGTATTTTCTTGTTTTAATTTTTGAGACAGGGTTTTTCTGTGTAAGCTTTGGCTATCCTGGAACTCACTCTGTAGACCAGGCTGGCCTTGAACTCACAGAGATCCATCTGTCTCTGCCTCCCCAGCGCTGGGATTAAAAGTATTCACCACCACCGCCTGGCTTGCTTCATATTTCTTAAGAAGTCCTTAACCATAGCCATGTGAGATAGTCATGTCCCATCTGGTGGTAAAGAAGCAGTCTCTGGAACCAACTGTTATTAGGTTAAAGCAACAGAATTAAAAAATGGTAGATTTTGGGCTCTAAAGTTCATGCTTGTATCATTACATTCAAGACTAACATGTTTACTTGGAGTCTACAAAAGAAGTAGTTAATTCCTGTAAAGGCAGCCAATTTATTCCATATAATTGTTTGAAAAAGGAAGTGTTCTTTCGTTAGGGTTGGGGGGTCATTGATCAAGGTTTTTGCCTAATTCAAACAATGCTCGAAGAAGTTCTGATCACTGTGTTTCTAATACCTTCTCAGAAATCTTGGGGTTCTGATTAAGATGTGGGCTCCTGATCCTGGGGAAGCCTGGTATCAGGCATTGTTGGGTATGGTGGGAATCAAGTCACAATATCAGAACACTTGGGGTGGAGTCAGAATTAGAAACATATGTTGTAGGTATCTTCAACTGTTAAATTATTCAGTTTTCCACGTTAAACCTTTAGTACAATCTGAGGTTTCTTAGAATGGTTATTAAATAACATAATCCAGAGAAGCAAAAGGATTGAAGGATTAGCTTTGTAGCTTTTTGTGAAGAGGAAAGGGAGTCTTGTAATCACCTCGGGTGCTTTTAAAGAATCTTCAACTAGAACAGAGTTAACTTTGAAGATTTTTAGCTACTATTTGTTACTGAGTTGTAGGCAGTTTTCCTGTGCCGGCAGCTGCTCCCAAATAACTACTTAGAGATTTAATATGAATTGTAAATGCTCAGCTAAGAGCTCAGGTTTGTTACCATCTAACTCTTACATTGTAAATTAACCCATATTTCTTACCTACCTTCCGCCACCTGGCTTGGTACCTTTTCTCAGTATGGCATGTCCATCTTGCTTCTCCCTGTTTCTGCTTGCAACTCCTCAGACTCTGCCCTTCTTCCGGCATTCTCAGTTTGGCTCTCCTGTCTAACCTTGCCCTGTTCAGCTATTGGCCAGTCAGCTTCTTTATTAACCAATGAGAGTAATATGTATTCACAGTGTACAGAAGGATTATTCTAAAGCATCGAGGTGGGTTTTTTTTTTTTAATGTAATATAGGGAAACATTAGCAATGATGTTTATACTTACTAATGAATTAACCAGACTTAGGGCCGGGAGCACACATGACTTTGAGCTTTTGAGTTTCTGTATTACTGTTCAGTACAGAAAGATCCTCAATATAAAGCAGGTTAGTTCAACACAGACTGCAATGCCTTAACCTTCACTGACTTGTCATGCCTTTGGACAGCTTCGATTCCTGTTGGTGGAATTCCTTAATGTTCCCTTGCTCACATAACTAATAATGCCAGTAATGCTGGTGAGCTGCTTGGAAATGGAAGATGGGAAGATGTTCCATGCTGGGTGGTTATTTGTCACCTCATCCTAGTAATTCTAAATAACTAAGTGCTTTGCTTACAATTTTATGGGTCAGAAAAAAACTTGTCTAGGATTTCATCAGGCAGAGTATATGTAGTTAGAACATCTTAACTCACATGTCTCTGTAAATGATGACTTCTCTGTGCTCTCATGATGTCATTTCCTCTGATCTCTTCAGTTTAGGCTTACAGTATGTCTGTTTCAGTAGTCAGACTTCTCACATGGTGGCCAACCTCCCCTTGAGCAAGCATTCTAGACAATAGCAAGGGGAAGTGCTGTGTTTCGTAAGACTTGGATTTGCATGGAATCACTGTCATATTCAGCTGCCCGGGGCGGTTACAGATTCAGGGAATGAGAAGGGAGAACTCTTAGTGGGAACAACCACAGCAACTTAGCAGAAAGGGAAAACTGTTATGACAAATGCTTAACTGACTTTACTAATAGATAATTTACTTATCTAATGATTCAAGAGAGACTGATTGCCAGCCTGGAAGAAGACAGGGACAAAGGTAAAAAGAGAAGAGTGGAAAAGGTTTTCAAGAAGACTGAGCTGTGCTTCCCAGTCTTCCTTGCTTCAGCCCTGAACTCTGGTTCTGCAATCTTCCCTGAGTCTTTGCCTGGCATGTTTACCTACTTGGGCTTTGGTGTTCATGCTTGCTCTCCTCTTTGTTTTGATCTCTACATAGGCACCTACAGTCCTCCTTGACTCACCCTTCTGGCCTGGCTGCCTACCATTGCTCTGTCTAAGAACTCCATGTTGTCTTGTTCTCTGGAAACCTAATAGCTATAAAGCATTTCACGCCTTGCTCTTGATTTCAGGGAAAGTGGGTTAGTATGAATTATATTTCTACTTAAATTAGAGACCCTTTATGATGAATGATGCCACTTTATCCTTAAATTTTAAGAGGACAGTACTTTTACTGTTGGATCTTATGTGGAGTGTGTGTACATACTTCACTATTAAATTAAAATACTTTGATTATATTTTTACAGATCCATAGTTATAATATTCAGGTTTTTATTTAATTTACCACTGATGCTTAAAAATTATGTCTGCTAGTGTAAATTTGTAGAAATTTGGAACATCAAATTTGTTTTTGTTTTTTCGAGACAGGGTTTCTCTATGTAGCTTTGGAGCCCATCCTGGAACTCGTTCTGTAGATCAGGCTGGCCTCGAACTCACAGAGATCCATCTGCCTCTGCCTCCTGAGTGCTGAATTAAAGGTATGCGTCACCACCATCCAGCTAAATTTGTTAATATGAAAGAAGTAATATAGTTTGAAGTGTTATATATTATATAGTTGAAAGTGAGAACAGGTTCCTATGTCTCCGTTTCTGACATTGTTCTTTTTCGGAGGGAGGTTGTTTTTTGAGACAGGGTTTCTCTGTGTAGCCCTGGCTGTCCTGTAACTCATTCTGTAGACTAGGCTGGCTTTAAGCTCAGAGATCCATTTGCTTTTGCCTCACAAGTGCTGGGATTAAAGGCATGTACCAGTTTACATAACTGTTTTTAACAGTTACTGTCTATATGTCCAGACTTTAAAACAATTTCTTAGCAGGTGCAGATACAGAAGCATATAGTTTAAAAGGTGTCTTTTAAAAACAGAAACGAAGTCAAATGATGTGGTGCATTTGCATGTGTGGTACATGCCTGTAGTCCCAGCCACTCCGGAGGCTGAGGCAGGAGAATAAGCCCAGGGAGCATTCCAGACTAATTTGGACAGCACAATGAGATACAATCCACAAACACAAAACAAGGATCAACAAACAAATTATGGCCTTTCCCCTGTGGTGACTTAAGCCTATAAATCAGGTATTTTGGAGAATGAGTCAAGAGGATTAAGAATTTGGGGTTGACATGGACTGACTAAGTAGCATGTTTTTGACCTACTGCTTAGTACCAGACTCTTCCTTCAAACACCATATGAATTTGCATTCCAGCTGTCTCTGAGCAAATTAGCAAAATAATGTAACTTCCTAACGCTTGTTTTCTGAATATAGTTCATACTTCCTGGGATTGTAAGGGATTAAATGAGGTGATAGTCACGAAAGTTGTAATAGTTTCTGGCATCATAATAACAGTGGGTGCTATAGAAATATTAGCTAACTATGAATGAGGTTTATTTTAAAGAAGGGTATTGTTTGGGTTGCTAAAATTTTTAGGATGTTTCAGGTTTAAGATTGTGTATGTGGGTAAGGCTATGTATTTCCCTGTTGCATCAGTGTTTGTCTGTGGTAGTTTGCATAGTGATTTTAAGTACTTCTCATCCCCCTCCAGAGCCCTCCTGCTGTATGTAGTGAGGTGCTGTTACTAACAGGCAGTGGGGTAGAATGTGGGAAAAACATCTGAAAACCATTAGGCTTAGAAAATGATACTACATTAGCACTTATTCTTTGGTTAAACCTCTTGTTTCCCCATAGACTAACAATAATGTCTCTTTTAGAAAAAGGTTGGCAAGCCGGGCATTGGTGGCGCACACCTTTAGTCCCAGCACTCAGGAGGCAGAGGCAGGCGGATCTCTGTGAGTTTGAGGCCAAACTGGTCTACAGAACAAGTTCCAGGACAGGCTCCAAAGCCACAGAGAAACCCTGTCTCGAAAAACCAAAAAAAGAAAAAAGAAAAGGTTGGCAAACCCATGAAACAAATACAACTATTGCTTTATGAAAATTTATTATTTTCCTGATGTATAAAATACATGTGTGTCATTTTAATAAGTAAGAAAAATCATTGGAAAAAAAGTTTATTTATGTTTGTTTAATGTGTTTGCCTGCATGCTATGCACCATGTGCATGCCTGGTGCTCTTGGAAGCCAGAGTGTTGGGTCCCCTAAAACTGGAGTTACAGATGGTTATGAGTTGCCATGTGGGTTTTGGGAACTGGGTCCTCTGCAAGAGTAGGGTCCTCTTACCTGCTGAGTCATCTCTCCAGTCCTGGTTTAAGCCTTTTAAGAAAATTAGGTAGAAAGAATTGGAAGAATTTTATTTATAAGGAGGTGATTCGAGTGGCTTTATCCCCTAGTTCTATCCTGCTTTTAGAATGTTAGGATTTTAGAGGGTATGTTAGTCACTACCTACTCTCCATTTCACAGTGAGGACATGGAAAGGAGTCGTGGTATTCTCACTCTTGTTTCTGGTAATGATGGTAGAGCCAGTACTACAATCTGGGCATCCAGTCCTCACCTTTCTGAATTCTTGTTTTTTGTATTTTCTGAGACAGGGTTTCTCTGTGTAGCTCTGGATATCCTAGAACTCAAGCTCTGTAGACCAGGCCGGCTTCAAACTCACAGAGATCCACCTGCCTTTGCCTCGAAAGTGCTGAGATTAATGGCATGTGCCACCACTGCCCGACACCTTTCTGAATTGTAATAAGAGAGTTTGCTAGTTTGAATGTGTGAGTCTGAGGCTGGGGATCTTGCATCCACTTATCTTTCCTAATATGTGTTACTGCTGCTAGTGTCTTGAGCCTGGCTACCTCAGAAAAACAGCAAGGTTTTTCATTCCAGTGCACAGGAACTGAATTTCCAACTTGCTTGAGGCTTAGGCGAGAACAGGGATGAAGGAAGGTTCTGAAGTCGTGGCTGAAGAGGCAGTGGGAAGGGTCTTCTTCCCAGTGTTGTCCTCTTGTCTAAGGTGTCTTCTAAGGGCTGAGAGGACAGCTTGAGACTAGGCCTTCAAGAACATAAGGAAATGGAGAATTTTGTTGAGGGGGTGTTTGGGTTGGGGTACTGCAGTTTGAGGAATCTTTATAATCTGAGTGATAGATAAGAACCTACTTTTCAGATGTCAGATGAGCCCAATGTGCAATCAGGTGCAAAGACATAAGAAATATGCTACATGGCTCCTCTGCCTTGATACCACCTTGAAGTATAATTAAGAGTATTAAAGAGTTCTTGTAAATTCTCAGATTTAACTCTTTGAATGTCCATAACTCTACAGTCTTCTCACTTTTCTCAGACATTAGCATTTAATTTAATATTAAAATATTTAAAACGCTTTGGCCTAATATTTTTACATTTTGCTGAATAGACTCTGTATTCAGACTGTAAACATTTTATTGATTATGTGACTTTTGTGTGTGTGCGCGTATGCATGCACACACACACACACATTGCCTCCAGCTTCTCATAGAAGAGTCTGGAAACAGTACTGTTTCTGTGGGGAGTGTATTCATCTTATGATTATACTTCTGAAACTTACTATCTATAAACTGAAGCTTCCTTTTATAATAAGATCTTTTTATTTCCACCTTCATTTTGGTTTCTCAAGACAGGGTTTCTCTGTGTAGTCCTGGTACTTGCTATGTAGACCAAACTGGCTTCAAACTCACAGAGATCCATCTACCTCTGCCTCTGAGTACTGGCATTAAAAGTGTGTGTCACCACTGCCCAGCTCATAAGATCTTAACATGAAGTAAACTTTCATTTTATGACCTGTTCTATTCTTAAAGTGATCCAGAGTTAAATTTATACTATTACATATTGGACTTTTGGATAATTGAATGAGGAAATGAAAAAATAAGTTGCTGGCAATCAAACACAGGGGTTCCAACATGTTAGGCAAATGTCCTATCACTGAGTCATAGCAGCCCAACCAAAAAATTGTAATCAATGCTTTAAAAATTTCTACACCCTATCCTGCCTGGCTCAGCTGTAACACTTATATGAAAATAATTGTCGTATTGACACCATCATCAAGAATTATGTGCATTTTATTTGACATTTTTTGCAAAGCACTTTTAGAAAACTAGGATTAGTCTTAACTGTGACTTAAGGTTATACTCTAAATAAAGGAAGAGTTGCTATTTATAGTTGTATATGACCCGGATGGCAAAGATATGTGATTAAAAGAGACTTAAAAAGAAAATAAAACTCACCAATGCTTTAATGGGAAACTAGTCCATTAACCTGTTGGGAGACTGTAAAAGAGAATATGTAATAGAGGGAACATGTGTACACATGTTTAATCTGTGGCTAACCTAGTTGAATTGAGTCGGGTAAAATCGCACAGCATTGTGTGGGTGTGCATTTAAATTCTTTGTGATACAGCTTTTGATAGACAGTCATTTCTGTAAGCTCACTCCTGGGGTGTGATTCCTGACCTCAAAATCCTGTGCAGCCGTGGAATTTATAATCACAGGATACCGTTAGAGATTTGGGAACAATGGAAAATAACACAATCCAAATACAATGTTGTATTTTTCTTTTTATTAGTGTGCAGGTCCAACAAAAGCCCCTGGGTCTGTTTGACTTGTTCAAGTGTCCACTGTGGAAGGTATGTGGCATATTTATTATTCATTACTCTACTTGCTTTAAAAATTTGCCTGAAAGCTTTATATTAAAGTGTACTTAATATTTTTGTTAATCATAGCATGCTTTTTTTTTTTTTTGTAGTGCTTTCAGGTTGAATACTTTGTTGTTTGATACATTGAGGGAAAATCTAGGGGGAATCCCTTTAAGCTGCTATAAAGAATTAGAATTTGGTGAATAAGACAACCTACTAGTAATATTTCTTGGGAAAATTGAAGCAAGGAAACTTTTAAACTTTGAAACAAAAGTTTAGTAAATGATTGTTTTAAATCTTTTTAGTAGGGTAAGATGTTTTTGAGATAGGATTTCTCTGTGTAACAGCCTTGGCTGTCCTGGAACTTGCTGTGTAGTTCAGGCTGGCCTTGGACTCAAAGAGATCCACCTGCCTCTGCCTCCAAGTGCTGGGATTGAAGGTGTGAACCACCACTGCCTAGTGTAGGGTAAGGCTTGAGTGCACTTCAAAGTAGTATACTTGATTTCCATGTTTTCATTATGACAACATAATCAGCATGAAGCCAGTCTTGGTTTTCTTGTTTTCTATCCTATTTCCTTTACTAACGTGAATCAAACCCCAGATAGTTTTTTTTTTTTTTTTCTGGGAGAAGAAAATCCTAAAAAGAATTAAATATTTACAGATAACGGAATTCCCTTTGAAAGTGACCTCTCTCTGCAGTCACTTATTCCTGCCTGAGATAGAACAAATATTTCAATTTAAATAGTTTACCCTTGAGTCTGGGGATGTGGCTCTGTTTGTTGACGTGCATGAAGCTCTGGCTTCTGTTCTTAGCACTACACAACACTTAGTGTGGTAGTTATTCCTGTGCTCCCAGCTCTCACTAGGTAGAGGCAGGAAGAGCAGAAGTTTAAGATTATCCTTGGTTATGATCAGCTTGGGTTATAGGTCATCCTTGGTTACATGAGACCCTGCCTCAAAACCAAACCAAACCAAACCAACATTTCGTTTTCATGTAGATTTAGTAGCTCCCATTTCAATCCTGAACATTTCTTTACAATTTTTGGCTTCCAAATGCCATTACTTAGAGATATTTCAATAACTACTTCTAACTAACTCAAGGATATTTCTACTGCAGTTTAGCTTTAGAAATCATCTAGTCTGAGAGATGAGCCTGGTAATTCATGCCTGTAGTTCTAACACGAGGGAGGAAGATTGTTGTGAGTTTGAGGTCAGCCTGTGTGAGTTTCTAGGACAGTCAGAACTAAAGAATGAGATCTCTCCGGAGGCAGATCTCTGTGAGTTCAAGACCAGCCTGGTCTACCAGAGCTAGTTCCAGGACTGGCTCCAAAGCCACAGAGAGACCCTGTCTCGAAAAACCAAAAAGAAAAAAAAAAGAAAAGTACCTTTGGAAAATGCTGTGCATCTTAATTGTAGCTGGTGTGGTTTCAAAATCTCCAAGATCTGGGGAGCCTGAAAATATTTTGTACAGATAATTTTTAAAAGACAAGTATAAGCACTTAAATTCTGCACTGAAGAGTTATACTCTACTCCTAGCTCTGAGAGGCGAGGATGACAATTCAGTAAGGGTTATGTGGCTCCCCCGATGTCAAAGAATGAGCTATATCTAAAGGTTGGAGGTCATGTGCCAGAGGAAAGACCAGGACATTTTTGAGGAAAAAAAAAAAAAAAAGGAAGAGGTTAATGTTCTTGACAAATAGTAAGCCAACAAACAGTTCTCTGGGCTTTGGAAAAGTGAGTTGAAATTTTCTAGACGCTGCAGGTGGATCCTTTGTAATCAAAGGCTCTGCCTCCCCAGTGTTAGCATCAAAGGTGTGCACCATCACCATCTGTTGAGTTTAGAAATTTCACAGATTTCCAGAGAAGTATGATGAGCTGATTGATTAAGCAGATATTGGAGATCAGCCTGATTTTGATCTTGGCATCTTTTTCTTTTCCTTCCTTCCTTCTTTTTTTTTTTTTTTTTTTGGTTTTTGGTTTTTGGTTTTTTGAGACAGGGTTTCTTTGTAGCTTTGGAGGCTGTCCCGGAACTAGCTTTTGTAGACCAGGTTGGTCTTGAACTCACAGAGATCTTCCTGCCTCTGCCTCCTGAGTCCTGGGATTAAAGGCATGCGCCACCACCTCCCGGTGATCTTGGCATCTCTTATGTAATTTTAGTTGTTGCCAAATATACTGATTTTCAGGAACTTCAGACTGTGTGCTTACAGGGAAGTCTTAATTGAATATTCTTTCAGTTTACTGTTTCAGAAACTATGGTGCGTCAGCACATGCGAGGCAAACATTCTACTGCTCTTTACACCTTCCTGCTTAGTTTTCAAATGCTTGAGACTGTTATTGGGATCTATGACATACATGGTAAACTTGGCTTCTTGTGTAACAGACAATGTGTCTAAAGAAGTTACAATCTAAAACTATGAGGGAACAGTAAACTTCTGACTAGTGTGTTTGGGTATTAGCCAAAACATTGTTAATTTGAATGTCATCCATCAATAATTATAATGTTATCACTGACTTTTTTTTGACACAGGGTCTCTCTGTGTAGTTTTGGAGCCTGTTCAACTTACTCTGTGGACCAGGCTGGCCTCAAACTCAAAGATCGGCCTGCCTCTGCCTCTTGAGTACTGGGATTAAAGGCATGACCCACCACTCCCAGCCTGTCACTGACCTTATTAGGGACATTTAATTTTTTTTAAAAAAGATTCATTTATTTATTATGTATACAGTGTTCTGCCTGCATGTGTACCTGCAGGCCAGAAGAGGGCACAAGATCTCATTACAGATGGTTGGGAGCCACCATGTGGTTGCTGGGAGTTGAACTCAGGACCTCTGGAAGAGCAGACAGTGCTCCTAACCTCTGAGCCATCTCTCCAGCCCTGGGACATTTAATTTTTAAATTTTATTTCTTTTATCAAAATTTCTAACTAGTGTATTGGATTTCACCACGACATCTTCATAAACAGATGTCAGTATCCTTTGTTCTCAGTCACACAGGAACAATTTAAATATAAAGGACATTTGGAAGCTGCAGTATTATAACTGAACATCTCTGTTCAGTTTTCAGACGATCAGTTTTCAAAGCCTTGAAATGTTTTGCCATTCATTTTTGCTGTTGTGAAGGCATTCTTCATTCCCGTTTTTCATGGTGTGTGCAAAAAGACAGAACACGAAGGAGGTTACTGAGCTTATATGGGTAGAGTTTACCTTTACAGTTAAACAACAAGCGCCTCCTGGCATGCAACAACATAATGCATCAGTAGTGCTTTTTGGGCCCACTCTCTAAGCAGTTGGTTTGTTATTTGGATTCTGAATAAACAGCAGTTAAGTATATAAGGGGAAATGCTAGTGAAGTAACCACATACACTCATTTAATTGCACAGTAATCCATGTGATGCATGCACTGTAACCTCCATTCACAGGTGAGAAAACAAAGACAGGAAGGTTAGCAACTGATTGTGCTCCTGTGGACAGCATGTGCAAGGCCTGACTGGAAAGGCTGGTTTCTAAGCATGTACCCTTGTTATTTTATTTAAAAACCCAGTCTTCTTTGGGAGACACAGGATCTATGGTTTTAGAGCCCAGGAGTAAAAAGTATAAAAAAATGATTTTTCTTGAGGTTAAGGGTATAAGTTTTCCTGGAATGTAGAGGCTGTACTTGAGCTGACTGCACATCACCACCATCCTTCCCCAAATTAAGTGCCAGCTCCCTAAGCAACTCAGCACCTTACAGTGAAACTGCCAGCTCGATAAGTCTGTTTATTGTGGTGCCAGTGAACCAGCATTTGTTTTTACCACTTGAGGTTTTAAGTAATTCCTGTCTTCTGCAGACTGGTTGTTTTCAAGCAACTGGGATGTTTTGTGTCCTAAGGGTTTTCTAGTAGAGGTCAGGGACAGCATTCCACAGTCTTTAGGTATAGTGTAGATGAATTTGGGTGCAAACTATATGCATATGGATGCTTACTTTGGTTTCAGTTTCTCTGCTGTAATAAAGTGATTTATTAGGTCTGGTGAGATGGCTTAGTTGGTAGAAGGCACTTGCCACTAAGCCTGATCCCCTTGGATGGACCCACTTGGTGGGAAAGGAACCTACTCCCATGGGTCATCGCCAGGCTTCTGCTTGTGCACCATGACATGGACACCCCCCCATCTCCAAATGTAATAAAATATGTTTTATTAAATTTGAGTTGGCCAGGTGATGGTGGTGCATATCTTTAATGCCAGTACTCGGGAGGCAGAGGCATATGGGTCCCTGTGAGTTTTAAGACAGCCAGGGCTACATAGAGAAACCCTGTTATGAAAAACCAAAAACCACAAAAATAGAAACAAACAAAAACTTGAGTTGGAAAGCTACAAAACTGGTAGGAATATAACCAACCATTGGCTATGTTTGTTCACATGGAGAAATGACAGTTTTTCTAAACTTAAGTTGATTTGTGTTTTGTTTGGATTGCTCTAAACAAATGCATTTCCATGAGTGTTGATGATGAAGCATTCAGAGAAAAGGTTTGAAGCCATTCTAGAAGAACACAGACTGCCCCACTTATGCCTGACTTTCACATTGTAGGTGCAATTCCAGCATAGGGATCTGTGAAAGGAGGTTGATTAATTTTGTATACAGAGTTTTATTTGCTTACTTATTTTTTGTAATAACTCAAGCTAGATGTTAGTAATTTGAGAAAACCCTAACAAGGGGGGAAAAAAAACTATAGGGAAAGCATCAATATAGACATTAATAGTGATAAATAGCACTGAAATACATCACCATATGATTAAATTTTCAAGCATTCTCATTTTAATTTGGTTAACAGTTTCATCATCTTTTACTTTTACAAAGTAAATAAAATAAATAAAATAAAAATTTCTCTTTGATTTGTAAGGTATGTGAATGGCCATGCAAAAAAACATTATGAAGATGCACAGATACCCTTACTCAACCATAAGAGATCAGAAAAGCAAGAGAAAGCTCAGCATACAGTGTGTATGGATTGCAGTAGCTACAGCACATACTGGTAAGTTAATATTTTCTGAAAATGGTATTGTTTTAACAAATGTGTTCTTACAAGTTAAGCTTCTTTGTTTGAAAGATTATCAAAATTGAAGATTTTGATAATCTTCCTTACTTCATTGTGTTTCTGTTCTCTTCTACTTCTCAAGAGGTAAATGTCAAGAATTTAGTGTTACCAACTCAGCATTTCAGGCTTTTTCCCCCTGTAAACTATCTTAACTTTAAGAGGAGATTGGAGATAACCATGCCAGGAGGTGTACACTGGCATTCCAGCAGTCTGCAGGCTGATTCTGAGTTAACTGTGTCCAAAAAAATATAGGTTGGAAGCCTTGTCTCCTTGTAATATAATGTACGTGTCCATTTCATGTAAATGGTAGTAAAGTCATGTCTGTTTTTGTGACTACTTAACAAGTGAGCTATTCAGGCTGCAAGTAATGTTCAACAATTTGTTAGCCATTTGGTATATGCAGAGAAGTTGGAATTTACAGTTTTAACTTCAGTGTGAAGCAAGTATTTTTCCCTGATCTTAAATTATGCTGAACATTTTTTTTTTTTTAGTTTTACTTTTTTCTTTTTTTTTTTTTTTTTTTTTTTTTTTTTGGGGGCGGGGTTTTTTTTTTGTCCCTGCCTGGCTTGTCTGGGAGGTTTCTTTATAGCTTTTGGAGCCTGTCCTGGAACTTACTCTGTAGACCAGGCTGACTTCAAACTCATAGAGATTCGCCTGTCTCTTCCTCCCAAGTGCTGGGATTAAAGGTGTGCTAGTTGTTTTACTTTCAATTCTAAGGGTTGCTGACACATGGTGGTGGTGGGGTGCATCTAGAAGATCCTTTTAGAGTTGTTTATAATGTATTTGCTAAGGAGTCCTCAAATGTTAATACGAAGGCATTCCTGAGCAGAAATGGGTACTTAATACAAATATCCCTGTTGACTTGCTTTTGGTGTGAGGGGTTTGAGACAGAGCTTTGCTATGTGGTTCTAGGCTAGCTCCTACCTCATCTTCCTGAGTGCTTGCCTTATATAACTACACCTGTTTCCAGGTGTCTCCCATGACCTACACTTTCTGTTGAAGGACATGCTGGTCCTTTTCCACACTGTAGTTAACTGTAGGAAGATGGCCAGCACAGGGAAGAAAATTAGACCAGTGGTTTTTCAGGTCTTTTAATGTTTTACAGCTTTAGCACAGTTAAAATTTGACTATTGAACCAGTCTGTTAAAGGTTTATATCTCTCCATCCTAGTCATAGGTCGGTCATATCAACCTGTGTGGTGCAGGAGCTGACAGCATTCATTCCTGATTTCAGTTAGCAGGGTGCATGGGGTGCTCAAAAGAAGCTTTGTCAACACAGTTAATCTGTATGCTATAAAAAGCATGCTGGCGGGTTTCTTGCTATTGGTACAGTTCTGAGGAGATGGCAAATCTTTGAGGAAATTTTAAGGGTCAGCTTAATGGATTGAAATTATTTTCATAGGGCTCTGTAAGAACATCTATTATGTATTTTAGTGGCTTTGCATTTTTGTTAACTTGACATTGCAGTTTAATTTCATTTAAATTGCTGTAGTATACAAAGGTACTAGGCATCATTTCATAGCCAAATTGAATTAGAACATCTTCAACCTTGGTAGAGAATGCACCCGGGAGTGGCAGAAGCTTCTTGGCCAATTGCCAGTCTTTTGTGGCAGTTAAACAGAGCTGCAAGTGTGTGGACACCCAGAGCTTCTAAAATGCAGGAAGGAGGCTGCAGCTGGAGGGGCCACATTAGTGCTGCATTTTTGGGCTTGAGAACAGAATGCCAGGGAACCACACTGCGAAATTAGACTGCCATATAAATACCCCCAAAGGAATTGGTGATTGTTGTTAGTTTATAAAGCTTTGGTTAAAATTAGTATTTTCTCATACCTTAACTGTCACAGAGAAACAGATTTCTCTGAGTAGGGGTATTGTATCATTTCTCAATGTAATTTAAGAGTTTCCTTTTACGCAATTTCCAATGGCTTGACTGAATGATAAGGTTCAAAGGTAAAAATATTTGAATATTTGATTTTTAAGCATTTTGACTTCAGCTCTTCCTCATCTTCCCCTAGTAGTAAGGATTGAACCCAGGGCCTTGGACATACATGCTCAGCAAACACTACTGAATTGTATCCCAGTCTCTCTTTATTTTTATTAATTTGAGACAAGGTTTTGCTAAAATATTCAGGCTGGCTCTGTAGGAGCCCAGAAGCCTTCCCCACACCTTTATGGTTTGTTATAAGATATTCCGGAGGCTAACAGTTGTTATTGCCTGTTTGTGTTTGTGTGTACATTTGTGTAGAGATCATAGTTGTTGGGTTGTCATTGCTTAGGTCCATCACCTTGTTGTTTGGAGACAGGGTCTCTGGGATTTAGGTTAGACAAGGCTGTCTGGGCAGAGAGTTCAAGGTATCTTCCTGTCTGCCTCCCCAGGGCCGGTGTTACAGCCAACCCCCCCCCTTTTTTTTTCTTTTACATGGGTATTGGAGATCACACAGGTCCTTAGAGTATGTACTCTACCAACTGCACCATTTCTACAACCCCTGCTTATAGTTTTTGTCCTTATTTTCTTTTTCCTAGAGTCTTGCTCTGTCCTTTGCTTGCATATGAAGTTATCACTGAAAAATTCCTTTCTCCTTCTAACTGCAGTTACGGGTACTGAACTTCTAGCTCCTGGGATACTAGTCATTTCCTGGTACATGTCAGTAGTTTGTTAATCTGCAGAAACCATCTCTTATATTCTGTTTTCCTCATTGTCTTATGCAGACTAAGTAGTGTATGTTTGAATGATGAAGGGCCAGGGCAGGAGCTCAGTACTGAAGTGCTTGCCAAATGTGTGGAAGACCTAGTTCAGTTCAGTCTCTAGTACTGGGGTGGAGAAGACTTCATCAGCTTTCTTTAAAAAGGGGGAAAGATTGTACCAAATCTGTCCATTGTGTCCTTTGATCATCACAGAGGACTGAAGCCACATGATGGACGACTAAATTCCTTTCCCTCTGAAGATGGGTATCTTTGCAGGTATCTCCTTTATACTCTGATAGAAGCAGAGCCTCCAAAGAGAAAGTTTGGTAAAAGTTGTGGTTTGGCACAAACCATCTCCTTGAGAAAATCCAATTAGCATGAAACAGATAGATGAAGATTTCAATAAAAGTGATAATCTTCCCAAGATTTTCATATAAAGGCTAATTTTCAATTTATTGTTTGTTAAGTAATGTTTCTCCCTTCCCATCCTGTTCCCCTCCCTACCTAATACAAATGGAATCACATGTGGTATACATTATTGCAGTTAAAAGGAAGCACAAATTAAAATTAGTTTAATGTAAATAGACATATGAAGGCAATAGATTAAAAATACCAAATAATTAATTGATATTTGACTTAATCAACTTTAATCCTATGAACAGTAGCTGAATGAGGATGAAGAATTATAAAAAGAATATTAAAATTACTAGAATGTCTTTTTCCCAAAAGTATCCTTTCAAACTGTTGTGAAATATGAACTAATTCATGTCTAAAAAACTACTTGTATTTCAGATTATTTTTTATTACACCTGGCAGGCTTAATCATTTTAAGTTATGATTAAAAATAAGAAATTTATTGTTACATAAACTCTTTAAATATAGATTTGATTCATTCCTCCCTTTTTGGGTATTGAGACAGGGTTTCTCTGTGTAGCCCTGGCCACCCTGGTAGACCAGACAGGCTGGTCTCCAACTCAAAGAGATCCACCTGCCTCTGCTTGGATTAAAGGCATGTACTATCACCCAGGTTTCTTTCTTTTTCTTTTTCTTTTTCTTTTTCTTTTTCTTTTTCTTTTCCTTTTTTCCCCCTTCTTTTTGTTCATCTCCCCCTTTTAAGGTGGGGTCTAGATCTGTGATCAAGGTGGGCTCCAAACTCATGTTTGTTCCTGAGTGTTGGGTTTACTTCTCCCCTTCTGCTTGTTTTCTTACTTTTCCCTTGGGAGGGGTGGGGGAGGGGTGGCAGGAGGAATTCTCACTGTGTTGCCAAAGCTAGCTGGACTCCTGGGCTCAGGCAGTCCTGAGTAATGGGGACCACAGGCATAGACACAGCTGTCAAAGTGTTTTAAATAATGGAAAGCAGGAAGAGATTGACTTAAAAATTGTGTTTTGAAGTTTAAAAAGAAACTTTGTAATAAAGGCGACCTCAAATCATGAAAGACTTCTTTAATAAGCCAGTGCTTATCTGATTTTAACAGAGGACGGGTGTTTTATCTGAGTGTATTCTTTTCATTTCCATAATTGGATATTTGAGGCCAAGACATTAGAATTTAATAAAAGAATTTAAATATATAACACTTGATTTCTGAAGACTTTCTTTTGAATTTTAACTTTAATAAATTTGAAACATGAAATCATCAGAATGTCAGCTCTCTTTTTCTTCAGAATCTGTCATTTATAATAAAGTGGTTATATTTGTAAACATTAAAATGTTATGCATTTGAATGAGAAGGAATTTAAAGCTTAAGAAATCTGTCCCTTTTGTGAGGGTATGTTCTGCAGTCTACATTCGTTATTTTGTGGTATCAAACATGCCAGTTATATGAAGTGTTTGTTTGCTCCTCCACTGTTGCTTAATGAAGTTGCTTGATTTGTATAATGGTTCCTTCTTGTTTCAGATGAATGAAGAATAGTTTCATTAGGTATATTTTCTTAGTTCATCAAGAATTTGATGTGAACCTGGTGGTGGTGGCCCACACCTTTAGTCCCAGCCCCGGGAGGCAGAGGCAGGCAGATTTCTGTGAGTTCAAGACCAGCCTTGTCTACAAGAGCTAGTTCCAGGTCAGCCTCCAAAGCCACAGAGAAATCCTGTCTCGGGGGGAAAAAAACAAAAAAAAAAGAAAAAGAAAAAACAAAAAAAGAAAAGAAAAGAAAAAAAATTGATGTGAAACCTTATGGCATTAGTAACTTCCATAATGCCATCAACAGCACTGGAGAGATGGCTCAGAGCTTAAGAGCACCGACTGCTCTTCTAGA